CACTAATGTATTACCAGAAACATAGAAGCTGGAAAGAAAGAAAAAAGAAATATTAGATGAATGATAAATACTGTTGGGAAAAGCAAGACAGGGAAGGGGAAGAGGGTTGCAATTTGACATAGAGTAGTCAGGAAGGTCTCATGAAGGAGACATTTAAGTGAAGACTTGAAGGCAGTGAGGGAGCCAGTCACACAAGCAAGATCAGCTACACGATTTGTAGGGCCAGTGAAAGTGTGGGGTGCTTGTTCACCAATTATTACAAATGTCAAGATGACAACTGCAGAGCATTAAACCAAGTACAGGGCTCTTGTAAGCATGGGGCCCTGTGTAACTGCACAGGTCACACACCCATGACCAGTGCCCTGCATGCAGCTCTCAGGAAAAGAGTGTCCCAGGCAGATGGAACAGCAAGTGCAAAGGCCCCAAGCAGGGGCAGTGCTTTGGGAACAAGCAAAAAGTCATGCATGAAAAACATGAAGATTCCTGGGTCCCTTTTCTGGATATTCTGATCCAGTAAATTCAAGGTCAGCTAGAATCCTTTCTTTTTACTCTGTCCCAGGGCATTCTCCTATCCAGGCAAGTTTGAGGAACATACCTATTTCCATATCCTAGGATGTACATTGCTGCTAGCCATTGAGTTCCACTTCAGATAACCAGTTTCCAAGTTGTTCCCCTAATAACTCAGGTCTCCATCTTTTCTCCTTGTCAGAGTATCTGTTCTGGGAACCTCCTTATACCGAAAATACTACTGGCTTTTACCAGTCTCCCCCACCAAGGGACTGAGGTCCTGCTTGAACTCCCAGCTGGGTGGCTGGGGAGCTGTCATGGGCAAACAGCCTTCCCTCAGAGTTTCTGCTCCACTAAGATTATAGAGCTATGCTCTGCTTTTGCCAAACATGGGATGTTCAAGTCAAAGTCTGCCTGGACTCACTCTTAATTCCCAGGTGCACTGCCTTGGGTCTCTAAATCTCCAACATCTCATCACTTACTCCTTTAAACAATAGTTTAAATATATGGATGATCTTGGCAGTCAATATCAGAAACTTACTCAAATTCTTTCTGCTCAGTCAGAGAAAAAAGAAAACCTTTCTGCCTTTCTGGATATTCTGATCCAGTAAGTTCAAGGTCAGCTAGAATTCTTTCTTTTTACTCTGTCCCCGGGCATTCTCCTATCCAGGCAAGTTTGAGGAACATACCTATTTCCATATCCTAGGATGTACATTGCTGGTAGCCATTGAGTTCCACTTCAGATAACCAGTTTCCAAGGGTATATCCTAGGATGTGCATTTGCTGCTAGCCATTGAGTTCCACTTCAGATAACCAGTTTCTCAATTGACACCCAGCCGGGCATGGCTCAGGGGTTGAGCGTCGACCTACGATCCAAGAGATCATGGTTCGATTCCCGGTCAGGGAACATGCCTGGGTTGGGGGCTCGATCCCCAGTTGGGGGCCTGCAGGAGGCAGCCGATCAGTGACTCTCTCATCATTGATGTTTCTATCTCTCTCCCTTCCTCTCTCTGAAATCAATAAAGATATTTTTTAAAATAAAAAATAAAATAAAATCTCAACTGACGATGAGTAAATTCAGTTAACATTTGTAGATATTAATTAAAGCAAGAATATCACTTCACTGTTACAGTATTATCACTTTCACTGGTTCTACGTAATCAATGGAAGAGTCTCTAAAAACCTCATCAACTATATAGTTCAGGGCCCAAAATAAATGATATATATGTAATAAACCAGTGGTTCTCAGCCAAGAGTGAGTTTCTTCCCAGAGAACATATGGCAATGTCTGGATGGGGGCAGGAGTACAACAGCATCTACAGGCAGAGGTCAGGGATGCTGCTAAACATCCTACAATGTATGGGAGAACCCTCCCACCCCACCCCCAAACAAAGAATTATCCAGTCCATAATACCAACAGTGCTGTAGTTGAGAAACTCTGCAATAGACTATTTGTGTCTATAGATTATAGGTCCCAATCCATTATACTTGAGCTTAACACCTTAAAATCATCTTTATAAAACTAATAAAAAATCTGATTTACACTTTAACAGAAAGGAGTGATAGTTATGAGTAACAGAATCTATATTAGTGAAAAAGGAGTGAGAAAGCATTTGATCTAAAGTACAGACCTTCAGTGAGCAGATGTTTAGAAGCTCTAAAGCAATCAAATGAAACCATGGAGGGCAGTGGGTTGCAGAGAGACTGATATGGGTAGGGACCAGGGAAATACCACTTCTCTGGATATCATGCGCTCCTAGGTGCAGTCACCCTGGCCTAGTAGGTAAGACCCATAGAGACCAGACAGAAAAGACTTTCCTTCTTCAGTAACCAAGACACTGAGAGAGCTCTTGATAAGACTAGGATAAAAAATATGGGTGGAAATCAGAAGTAATATCTAGAGAAAAGCAAGAGCTTTATCACTGTGTGGGTTCAAGGTGGTCTCAATGAATAAGCATACTTGGAAAACATTCTTACCTCTCATCCATCTTCTCATCTGCAAAAAGAAGATTAATTACACCTATCTCAAGGCTTACCCGGAAAATCAAATTGAATAATAACAAGATGGAACAGGATAAATGCAGAGCTTGGCACATAGCAGGCATTCTGCAGAAGGTAGCTACTGTTACTTGCCAACTCTGCTTTCCTCTGGCTTTGACCCAAACCAGGCCCCGTTAATGCACATAAGACGTGTAGCTCTAAGCTCACATTTGGAACTCCCAAGGAGNCCAAGGGTATATCCTAGGATGTGCATTTGCTGCTAGCCATTGAGTTCCACTTCAGATAACCAGTTTCTCAATTGACACCCAGCCGGGCATGGCTCAGGGGTTGAGCGTCGACCTACGATCCAAGAGATCATGGTTCGATTCCCGGTCAGGGAACATGCCTGGGTTGGGGGCTCGATCCCCAGTTGGGGGCCTGCAGGAGGCAGCCGATCAGTGACTCTCTCATCATTGATGTTTCTATCTCTCTCCCTTCCTCTCTCTGAAATCAATAAAGATATTTTTTAAAATAAAAAATAAAATAAAATCTCAACTGACGATGAGTAAATTCAGTTAACATTTGTAGATATTAATTAAAGCAAGAATATCACTTCACTGTTACAGTATTATCACTTTCACTGGTTCTACGTAATCAATGGAAGAGTCTCTAAAAACCTCATCAACTATATAGTTCAGGGCCCAAAATAAATGATATATATGTAATAAACCAGTGGTTCTCAGCCAAGAGTGAGTTTCTTCCCAGAGAACATATGGCAATGTCTGGATGGGGGCAGGAGTACAACAGCATCTACAGGCAGAGGTCAGGGATGCTGCTAAACATCCTACAATGTATGGGAGAACCCTCCCACCCCACCCCCAAACAAAGAATTATCCAGTCCATAATACCAACAGTGCTGTAGTTGAGAAACTCTGCAATAGACTATTTGTGTCTATAGATTATAGGTCCCAATCCATTATACTTGAGCTTAACACCTTAAAATCATCTTTATAAAACTAATAAAAAATCTGATTTACACTTTAACAGAAAGGAGTGATAGTTATGAGTAACAGAATCTATATTAGTGAAAAAGGAGTGAGAAAGCATTTGATCTAAAGTACAGACCTTCAGTGAGCAGATGTTTAGAAGCTCTAAAGCAATCAAATGAAACCATGGAGGGCAGTGGGTTGCAGAGAGACTGATATGGGTAGGGACCAGGGAAATACCACTTCTCTGGATATCATGCGCTCCTAGGTGCAGTCACCCTGGCCTAGTAGGTAAGACCCATAGAGACCAGACAGAAAAGACTTTCCTTCTTCAGTAACCAAGACACTGAGAGAGCTCTTGATAAGACTAGGATAAAAAATATGGGTGGAAATCAGAAGTAATATCTAGAGAAAAGCAAGAGCTTTATCACTGTGTGGGTTCAAGGTGGTCTCAATGAATAAGCATACTTGGAAAACATTCTTACCTCTCATCCATCTTCTCATCTGCAAAAAGAAGATTAATTACACCTATCTCAAGGCTTACCCGGAAAATCAAATTGAATAATAACAAGATGGAACAGGATAAATGCAGAGCTTGGCACATAGCAGGCATTCTGCAGAAGGTAGCTACTGTTACTTGCCAACTCTGCTTTCCTCTGGCTTTGACCCAAACCAGGCCCCGTTAATGCACATAAGACGTGTAGCTCTAAGCTCACATTTGGAACTCCCAAGGAGACAGAATGGGACCATTCATGGCACGATGTCAGTCCATGCCTGCACTGCAAGATCCCTGTTCTCGAAATGTTTAAATGATAGAAGGACCTGCTAGGTAAACATATACCCGCCTGAATGTGCAAAATAGACTACTGGTCTCTGTCATTCAGTGAAGGGCCAGAAAGAGTGTCACCTTAAGAGAAAGATACAGGTAAGATCGCCTTTCTTCCCATTGCTGTCTAAGGTGCTTCAGGAAAGAACATTGAAAACTGATACAGAACTCAAACGCACAAAGGCCATCCCATAGCTCAGAGTTAATTATAAGTAATTTTAATGAAACAATATGTTCCCTCAGGTTTCCATGTTCTTCCCAGAGGTGTAATGCAATATACCCATGACACACACACTTATAAATTTATAATAAACACAGCTCTCCAGTTCACCTAGACCACAGTTCTTGGCCGCTGCTTAGTGACAGGTGTCACATTCGCAGTTGCCAGTGAGCCCAGGGGTGTAATTTCACTTCTAAATTAAAAAAAAAAAAAAGTATACCCGATAGAACCAGAACATCCTACGGGAACAACTACCATTCCTGACTCATCACAGTGCTTGTTTACACAGAAAACAAAATTCTCTGCCCACGTCCCCTCGTCAGTTCGGCTTTGAGTAAATATATACGTGGGGGTATGAACAGGACCGAAAATCCAGTGAGCGTGGCTCCGGGTGATGCCAAAGCCCGGTCCTCTTTGGCCTTTCTCACGCGACAGATCTGGTCCGAGTCTGGGCAGGGCACCGGGAACTTGATGCACTTACCTGGCCCGCCCCTCTGGCTACCGGACCAGCTTCGGCGACCTTCGCGGTCGCCCGCAGAGCGCACGGAGCCCGCGCTGGGGGCCGAGCCTCCCAGGGACAGAGGCTGCCTCCTCGACCCCCTCCCCTCACACGCC